ATGTCCTGCCAACAGAGGGCAGCCAGCATAGAGAAGGGCCTCCAGCCCGCCATAAGGGGGGCCCCTGAAACACCAAGTAGGGATGGTTAGCCTGGAGAAGACCCAGAAGGAACACGATGGCTGTCACATAGAAGAGGATCAGACTTTTCTGTTTGGCCCCACAGAAGAGACGATGAGGAGAATGTGCCAATAGGCAAATTAAGCTTGACGTTGAGAAACACTTCCTAAACACTAGAGAGAGTCAAAAGGAGCCTGGGCAGCTTCCGGGAGATAGAGGCTTCCCTGCTGGATGACCCTCTGGCAAACACGTCACAGGGTGGACTCTTTGGGGCCATCCAGCGTCTGGGCCTCCATGGTCACTGAGCTCCCTTCTAACCTGCAAGTTCTGTAAATGCTCTCTCTGTTAAGGCATACATTCCGAGCACCACGAGGGCAGGGCAGTGGTAATGAGAAGAGTGGGGTCTGGACCCAAGATCTGTGGCTTTCACCTGTGGGACCCTGAGCAAATCACCTTACCTCTGGGCGCCTCAGTGTCCTCATCTGTAACGTGAGGCTGCTGGCCTGGATGGCCTCCAAAGTCCTTTCCAGCTCTGACTCTCAGGGGCCCGGTCTGGGGACGAGTCAAGCCTTGCGTCTCGTGGCAAAAACACAAAGGCTTCCGTGGACAGTGATACGTGATGGTCACAATACTCAAGCTTCTCCTAGGGCACACAAACAGATGCCTTGTCTCAGCTCTGCCTGCTTATACCTGCTTACACAATGTATGTGTGTGTGTGGGTGTGTGTATATATGTGTCTGTGTATATATATATATACAGACACATATATACACATATATAAAATAGCATATACACATATGAACACATTATATATACACACAGCATATACATATAGCATATATATATTATACATTTGTAAGTATATATTTCTGTGTGTGTCATATTTTACATGTAGGTATTTCTGCATGTGTTGCATATTTTACATGTAGGTATTTCTGCATGTGTTATATATTTATATATGTATATATTTATGTGTGTTGTATATTTATATTGTGTATATTTCTGTGTCTATCATGTTTATATATGTATTTCTGTACATTCTACATGTGTGTAGCATAGTTATATATTCGATATGTTTTTAATATGTACTTATGTATTGGGACAGCTCGACTGAACAGTAGATACAATGCCAGGCCTGGAATCAGGAAGATCTGAGTTCAAATCTTGTCTTACAGACTCACTAGTTGTGTGACCTTGGGCAAGTCATTTAACCTCTCTTTGCCTAGGTTTCCTCATCAGTCACATGGAGATAATAATAGTACCTACCTCCCAGGGTTGTTGTGGAGGCCACATGAGATGATA